TGAATAGTTTGCGAATCACATTATAGTTAGTGTGAGTATTAGAGCTGCTTTATTACGGTAAAGCCTGACGCGTTATTTTGTGAACTCACTTTCAGAGATGTCAAACTGTCCAGTCAAATAAGAAACCAATAATGCCGACAGATATACCAGTTCTGGGTAAAGTTTGTCCAGTAGTTTTTCCACGACAGTCACCACGTAACAAAGATTTGCTTACCATGTTACTTCATCAACAAAACCCGACCTGGCTATTCCAGTACAAAATATCAAATAACTGAGCTTGGAAGACACAAATTCGACTTTCCAAGTGGCTAACTTTTAACCGACTACCAGTTCTAAACTTGAAAATGTTGCACGCCTCTTGCCCAAAACAAAGAAATGTATAAAAAAACACCCCTAAACGATTCATTGCAAACGGTCAGCAAAATGTTTCTTTATAAGCTCTCCACAAACTAGCTAATTTGAGCTGTGTATGCCACCAAGTTCTCAAAAGTCAGTTAGAAATTCATCTTTCCTGTGGTTTCTGTTGGAGTGCACCACTGTTGGGAAAGCGATTTTGTGGTACATCATGGTGCGAATAATATCGCCGTGGTAAATGACAGCCACTTTGCTCTCAAAGCACAGTGTTTGTGATTCTGTTCCAAAAATGTTGAATGTCCGATGGATATCGAACAACAACAAGACATGCACAGACCGGTTTTTAGCTCTTGCAGCACAAAATTTTTTTTAAAAAAAAGGAAAAGCAAAAAAGGCCAATCGTTCGACTTCTCTAATTTGGTGTGCAAATTATCATGTTCTTCGAATAAATTAGGCTATTCATTCCACCCTAGAAGTTAGTTCGTGTTCAAGTGAACTTTTTTTGCATAAATAAAACGCGTTCAATGTGTAGGTTGTCGAATGCACGAACACCATACTGAACACCAGTTAGAAGATGCGAATGGTGAATTATTGCACATGGTGTGCAATCACTCTCAACAGTCATTCCTGATAGATTAACTTAAGGGTCATGGGTAGACCACAGCATATTCAACCGACGCGACAGGTGATCTGAGACAGTGAGTGGTAATTGGTTTTCGTTGGTCAGAGGCTTGTTATACTAATGTCTCACCCCTAAGCACTATGATCACCTGTGTTTGAATATAAAGGCTGTCACCTGATCATTACTAACCAATCGGGCGACCAGCTATCTAGTAAGCAGTCTAGTCGAACCAGTTTTCGGATCTTTCATGAAAGCGAGTGAACATGAAACGGATTAGCACTTAAAGCTTCAGGGATAAGATGACCACTCCAACCTTTTAGAAACACTTTTTATCTCGTATGCAAGGCTATAGCCATGAAAATGATAAATCGCTGCATATGAGAAAGTCTATCAACCCAGGTATCAAACCACTGCTCAAAAGTATCTAGCGCGACTCAGTGAAAATAGGTTTTCAAAGAGGAGATCATTTCAACAAAGTTCGATAGGTAATGGCTCCGGCTACTTTTCACTGGTGGGAATAGACAGTGAAAAATAGTTCGAGGTCCCTGGACAAAGATAATCATAACGCAAAATAGTGGAGTTTTTTAGGGCAAATCCTGCTATAAATTTCAAAATATGTTGCTATCCTGAAAGGACAGGATTGTAAACAAAGAATTGGTGTCATGGCATTTTCAGAAGTAGAGTAGGACGTAGAACCTCAGTGAATATAAGTTCAAGTCACTAACTTTCAGACACCAAAACCTATTCGGTGCACGCATGGTCCCTGGGTAAAAAAAATCGGACCAAAACCAGAGCATTTAGCGAGTGAGAACTGCGGGAGCTCAACTGAGGTGCGGTATTTTCAGTCCAACACGGATTGGCGCCAAAATCAAATGTGTACGGAGATGGAAAAACGAACGGGGATAGGTTGGAAACCAGCACTCTGGGAAAGGGTAGAGAAGCAACGTACGACAAGCAGTGGTCGTAAGAGAAAGATCAATTGTATGCGAGGCAAGCCCATCGTGAGTGGAAACTCTGGTCAAAAGGAAGAGCACTCTAAACAATGGAGTCAAGGACCGAATTTACTTTGCAATCAAACACAATTACGTACGGTGATTAGGCAACTCATAGAGGCTGACAGTTACTCGTTAGGATAGTCCGATCACCAGTGGCCAATCGGGAGAGAGGCTAAAGCGCATCATTGAATTTCGGTAAGACAAAAGGGTTATGTAATAATTTGGGGAGTGCAGCTTTGAGTTGAAAACTGAAAACAGAGTGGGCTCAAAATGACAAAGATTGACTGGATCTCAATGTAAAGGACATGCTTTCAGACGAAGGACCCACCCCTTAACAAAAAAGCTGTAGTACAGCGGTTCCCAACGGTGGCCAAATTATCTCATGGCAGCAATGTTAACAATTCCAAAGAGTGATTAGATGGCCCGAAAACAGCAGTTTGTTCAGGAACAACACAAACTGTAACCCACATTGTTAAATAACAGCTGCGTGGAAACAATCCTACTGTTTCGGACACGATGTATTCGCACAAAATGTCACATTATGTGAGAACAAGGGTCTTTTATATCAGTTTATCTTTGCCTTCCCTCAAACACATACTTTGGGAAGCCACATCCACCACCACACGTTTGTATGCGTTTCCATTCCGGTATTCATTGGCGATGGCATTGTAACGTTTGTAGCCGTGGCTGACCACTTTCAAAAACGAAGTGCTCTTGGAACGGCATCGAAACTATTCAACTGGTAAGTGCATTCCGAATGCGCAGATCTGTAACTCTAAGTTTTAGCTCAATGGTAAATTACACTTCAAAATCTACAGTTACGGTAACTTCACACAAAGGTCTCATCTTCGGTGAGAAATGAATATTGCTCAAGTTATGACAAAAATCTTTTGGATAATGAAGAAGAGACGCTGTAGTGGTTCTTTTGAGCTAATTCCTTCATCGGATCGGAAAGTAGAAGCTCTACACCCTCTAAAGCTTTCCTAAGGAACCCGAAAAGTTGGGAGAAATGTGTCAGAGCGGAGGATTTTGAAGTATTTGGGCTCCTTTAAATCACAGCTTGCGAGCGTGTAAACGGCCTGCATCCCGGATTTTCAGGAAATAAATTATCGTTAGGCATGGCTGTTTTAGCCCATAGTTTTTTATATCACACACGAGTGTATTTTACTCGAAGGTCGTTTATATGGATGACCAGAACAGTATCTGAAGAAGGCGAAAGTGAAATCAAAGTATTAGAGAAAAAAACAATGAGTGCAAATGGATAAATTGCTGCTCCTAAAGTCCTACTAAATATCTCGACCATTTGGTGTTCGTTACCTATTTGAATCGAAAAGTTTATGGAATCAGATTTTCAGCGCTTTACACACTGAAAAGCAACAACCAGGTACTTCATTCAGTACCCGTCCACATATCACTGTATCCACAGCAAATGGGCTTGAACCGCAAATTTGTATTTGCCTTACAGTGTATACGAATAAAATATTTCACGTTTTTGTCTGGTTGGATAAAACCATTCTGATTCATCTACGGACTTTTCGCTGACTGGAACTAATGAAAAGGAGACAAACAATGTCGTGCGTGCTTCAGCTTCCACGATGTTTAGCCCTACGGATGGTTGGCTCTTTCTCTTTCGAATCTTTTCACGTGACAAAGTTTTCGGTAAAGGAATGGTATAATGAAAAGAGATTGTGAGGAGGATATTGAACAAGATAGGTTGGAAAACGGAGGAATAAAACATAAAATCCGAAATGGGTAGGGCATTTGTTGCCGACGGTTTATAGCATGAGGGGGCGGAGAGCAGATCAGACAGAACGCGACAAAAGTGGTGGAACAATTTATTGGGCTTGTTCAGACCATCGATGTGACTGTTGTTTATAACCTCTTTTAAGGTGGCTAAGAAAGTCATCATAATCGGGGATAATAGGTAGTATTCCTCGGTATGTTTACATAGAACCGAAGTGACACTTAATTGGATGTTCGGCAAACCCACCTCTTTTTTTCTTGATCCGAGCGGCAACAGAGATTGGGCGGAGGCTTTGCGGACCTTGAGAGTATGGTGATGGTGATTCACCACCAATGGTGGTAGATGTACAGGGATTAATGTCAATTTAGATAAGTTTTTGTCGCCAGCTTAATAGCTTCATCGGTGAGGGCAGTTCATAACAATGTCCACGTCAGAGTTTTTGAACTGATCTGTTAAATAAACAAGCCAGTGTGAAATACGTAAACGTAAACGAATCACCAACCCATTCCAAGACAGAAAGCTATCTTTTTGTGCTTAAGTGGTCATCCTTTTAGTAAGACGTATATAAGTGACAGTGATCCAGAATCAAAAGGGTATGCATTTTAGCTATCAGCAACCCATGATTAGGATTCCACTTCGTGGAAATGGCTGAATTATATGAGAAAAGCATCAAGTGTTGTAAGATGAGGAGCTGTTATGATGTAATGGTATGCAGCGTGGCGATCAGATAAGAGGATGGCAACCTCTGCTGTTATTGGGCACGGCTTACACCAGCAAAGCAAATTGATTTAGTCAAACTACGGCTTCTAAAAACAAACAAACAAACGTTTATAATCCAAATAGAAGATTCCGAAAAATCACCATAGTTACCGTTATTTGGCCATAGATCTTGGAACGACAGCTGTCGCTCTCACTGACACCATCTGTGTCGACATTAGCTTTCAACATGGGACCAGCTGTCAGTCGTTATGTCTAGTGATGTGTAAGACAGACTGAAGAAATCTTCGCTGTTCATGTTTACTGGAATGACTCATAGCAAAAGTTTTTGACGAGACTGTGTTTTGGAAGACAAATCCATGACTCCAAATATATGCGATGGATACTTCTGCACTACGTCCTTGCAATAAATGGGAACCTGACGTGTCCACTTATACCGCTGCTTACAGCTATCTAACAATTAGTGATGAGCACCTGTTTCTTGATCCGTTGGAAGGTAAGTTGTACTTCACCATAGCTCATAATTAAGATAACTTCAGCTAGGTTTATTTAAACTTTGTTCGAACCAATGTTTGGGGCACAACTGCATCGTGACACGGATACTTCTGCACTACGTCCTTGCAATAAATGGGAACCTGACGTGTCCACTTATACCGCTGCTTACAGCTATCTAACAATTAGTGATGAGCACCTGTTTCTTGATCCGTTGGAAGGTAAGTTGTACTTCACCATAGCTCATAATTAAGATAACTTCAGCTAGGTTTATTTAAACTTTGTTCGAACCAACAACTGCACAACTGCGATCGTGACACGGTAGAATATATGCGTCGACAATGAACTCGTATAAGAGCAATGCATTTAAAGCTTCCACTCTTTGGTGTAGACTCACAGGAATAATTGCGCCACGGCAGGAGAATGACAGTTCGAAGAAGAGTGATGTGAATATGAGTTCTACAAAACTGGCGACCAATGATAACTTAATGCGAATCGTTTGACTTTTAATTGCGTGTAATTTGCTTGCTTACTGTGTCGGTTAATTGTTGCAAGTTATAATTGGGTGGCACATTCCCAGATTCCGTAAACTGCGAAAGAGACATTGGTAATTTTCTGGCCTAATCTCTGCACTGGAATTTGTAAACTGAACAGTTAATTGTTCCTAAGTTTGCAACGACTCAGGAAGAGAAAGTGATAATATATTGATCACAAAGTAGGATAGGATTTATGCTCGAAAGTAGTGCAGCATTCGTTTTCTCATCGCCAGTAACAGGATCAGCTGCGTGTAACCAAACTGTGTTGTACATTACTATGCTATCAACAATCATAGTAGCACGCCTGGCGAACACAAATCAAAGGATTACTTTAGCTCAGAGGTTCTGGTTTAAATATTAGCATAACCGTCATAAGTATCAGCAAATTCAAGGCTTATAGACTTGAAAATTAACAGATGCTTCGAAGTAACTGTGGAAAATGTTAGAAGTCATTCTCGTGTTTCCTGTCTTCTGACAACTTTCAGCGCATGAGCTCAACCAAGAGATCCGTGAGTGGCCGCGTGAGACCACGAAAGGCGGTGAGATTTTGCCGATTCTACGTTCACGTTATGTGCTACAGCATAGAGTAAACATTTAATAAACCAAAACCTTTTGCGTCAAAAGTGCGACACAATTTCTGTAAGAGTAAGTTTTATGACACTCTTTGATGATGACACAATTTGCAAGGTCCACAGTTCATCATGCAGGTTTAGCCAATTAATTCCCACAAATCTTACTTTGCGTTCGCAAACCAATTTAAACATACATAAAGTTTAACACAAATCAAGATATTCCCACCAGTTCACTCAAACACCATAGTATGATATTCTTTGACCGGATTCGATATGTAAAGTCTGCCTCATGTTTTAGTTTGGACAGCTGTTTGCCGTGTCGAAGTAAATTTCTTCGAGCCGGTAGTATTTGTAGGGTTGGAAAAAACTCTTTAGCAGTCCACTACCGGAGTTATTCTTTCGGAACTCATTAGCTGTGTTGAGTTCACGAATTTTCACCTAACCTTTTATTCACTTGAAAAAGGATTGAGCATACAGTGAGTCAATAGCGCTTTCACGTGTCTTTACGTGACAAGAAAAAATATGTTTGATGTTATGCATATGAGTACAAGTGAAACATTCAGACGATGTTTGTGCAACAAATTCTGTTAATCAGTATCATAGACTAGAGTTTGAAGTTTTATTTGAGTCGCACTAGCTTGATTTGCAAGAAGCGTTAAAATGAGCATGATGATACCTTTATACCAAAATGTTTTGATGAAAACGTTCTGGATTAACTTACGTTTATTTACTCCGTTCGTCACACAGGCAAAAATCCGGCTTTGATTCGCCCAGCCACCCTGGGAAAACGAAGCTGTGTTCCAGTCAGACAGTTGTGCTATTTAAGGACCTTTGTATCCAGTGAGTTATAGTGTACTCTACCAATATGTGAATGCTCTTCATCCATCAACGGGTTGAGCATGACCGTTGGAATCCTTTGACTTTCGTAGTGTAAGCACGACGTTACGCAAGCTGTGGATACTTTTGAAAAAAACACTTATTCGTAAATACTTCGCAGGCTTACGTTTCTTAAATAGTTATGTGGGCATAAAAATACCCTAATTGTTCTTCCAGATCTGATTTTGTTTTGTGTAACTCTGATGGTAATGTGTTCCTGGCGCACAGCTGACTTTAGGCGCATGCATATTGAAAAATAGCTCATGTATAATTTCGTTCAGGAAACTATTTTACTACCTTTGTCCAGATCTCATTTTGTTTTGTGTAACTCTGATGGTAATGTGTTCCTGGCGCACAGCTGACTTTAGGCGCATGCATATTGAAAAATAGCTCATGTATAATTTCGTTCAGGAAACTATTTTTACTACCTTTGAGTAAATGAACCCAAACCAAATGTTGTTAAATGCAAAGTCTAATATATTCTTCCAATCCTTCCGTAATCTTTTGAGGCAACAGGTTGACAGATAGTATTACGTAACGAAGCCATCCTCTGCGTCTTATCTTTGGTGTTTATATGGTAGATGTAAAACTTTACTCATAATTCTACAGTAATTGTAAGTGTATGAAACACTGTTTTCGTGAAGAATGAGTGGGAAACGGTAAAAAGATGGTGAGTGGTATGGTGGTTGTCATACTCGAGGAATATGTTACGAGAAAAGACGAACAAGAATATAATTTGCTGTTTTGTTCACCGAAAAAACAGATTTGTTGCTAGGCCTTGTCACCGTGTTACTCTATTAGACAATCGCTCTTGTTTGCCGTTATCCTTTTTTCACACATTTGAGACCTACTATTCTCCAGCATTAAACAGTAGAATCAGGTTAATGTGTGCTGAAACCAAAAGAAGGAACAGCATATTTTCACTAGGATAAACACTTATTTCACAGCAAAGGCGCACAATAAACTCCGTGACAGGTTTTCCAGCATAATCAAAGCCTCATTTAGGTATTGCTACTCACTAGCGTAATTGGAGTTAATGTCTTTTAACTAGTCATTTATTATTAAGCATTTCAGATGTTATCAAACAATGGGATTCCATGAGTAAATGATTGGAAGTTTAATGTGAACCACAGCCTTACACGAGCAGATGATGGCATGCATAAAGCTGCATTGAGCTTACTCTTACTTGATCTACAGAGTGGTTCTCAAACAAGTCAACTTAGTCACTCAGGTTTGCAAGCAATGAGTGCCGGGACACTGTCCTTTCATGAGTAACCAGATAGCAAATATTTAGACAGCGTAAAGTGCTATTCGTTGGAAGGCTTTCAGAATGAGTAAATTCTTCGGAACTTTGAGGGGATTTTGTCGTTCTGTGCAGTAGATCGTTTACGTCAAAGAAGATCACTTTCTGAGACATTACTGGTTGTTATGGATATGTTTGTTAACATTGTCACACACACATCACAGCTAAAAGGGTTTTGTTTGGTTGCGTGCTGTAAACTTTTCAAATTGACTAAAGGCCAGTAGCATATGATGATCGGTTGTAACTCAATGTCGAGTGGTTTCTGACTAGACATTTTCAGTCATCTTCCGGAAAAAGTTTTTATGCTACTACAGAGTGAATGACTGCTGCAGAAAACATTTGTGCTTAATAATTCAGCTGGTAGAAAGCCCAATAGTCTAGGCTAAGTTTGTAGGCGCGAAATTCTCGTTATGCACAACATAAAAAATGTTCGAAAAAATGAGTGTCTCTAGACCTAAGGTCAGAGTAGGGAGGGACTGGTAGTCCGGCACTCGCAAAAATTTCCTTGGTTAACTTAGCGGCAGAGTGTTTGCGGCGATTAGCATTGGACCGAGTGAGCGCTGTATGCTTGTATTGAGTTTAATGTCAACGTCACAAGCACCATGTTATTTTGAAAATCCTTTGAAATATTCAGAGAAAAGTTAAATATCACATGCTTTCTTTCCTGCATAATTTTCGATATACAGATGGCATTTCCTTGCAGAAAGTGATCTTCGCGTGTGAAATAGAGTAATTAACTTTGGCTGTATGTTTCGTGTCATGAGCTAATCCGTTCAAAAGTGCGACCCTTTGTCCCTATGCGATGCGCAAGTAAACAATTAAGTTTGACGCCTATTTTCCGCGAGTAAATGATTTATTTGAAAATGGCATTCTAATCTGTGGCACTTGCCTTCTCTTGTAGTCAACTTCTCGACCTCACTTGTCAACCGAGATATCCATTGTACGCGTGTCAGTTATCGTGATGCCGTTATAATCTTCAACACGGTGTGTAATAAGGTATCATTCTGTCGCTATTTGAATTAGTACTTCTATTAGGTGACTATAATTAGTTAGGTGAAACACAGTGATTGATAATACTTGGCTTTATTTGTTCTTTATAATATTTACTCAGTGCACTCAATAAAGGAACTGCAAAGTTTCAATAAAAGGAAGTCAAACGCAGTGCCGTTTTGAAATTAAATTCAGTGACGTAATCCTGATACCGGACAACAAAATACTTAACGTTTCTCTATTACGCGCACCGTTGGAGAAAAAGTAAAGTGCATGAAGCAGTTCACGAAATAAATGGTTGAATATTTTGTCGATTTTTTGGGATGGGAGTTGCTGTAAATACCAAATATTAAAGTTTCATTCACAGAAGTAGTGTAATAAAGCATCTTAATTGAGACTATACAGTTGAAAATGGCATGTTTCACTCGAACTTACTCGAAGTGCTTAACAGGGGGGTGGATTTAATCATGGCCGCGTGTTGAGGATATCGTAAGCACTTCCAGCAGTAACATGCGAGTTAACCAATTTTGTCAAACAGGCAATTATGACTTAGGCTGTGGGATCGCGACCTTTGGTTAGAGATTTAACAATGGAACAGTTAATGTGTGACTGAGTAATCAAGTGTTAAAAGCGAGCATGTTTGGGTATTTAATGAGACTTGGCGCGAAAAGCAGTATTGATATCGTCTGACGTAGTACAAGTTTGCTTAGCATTCAAATAATTCGTGGTACAACTTGCTGTTTAGTTCAATAAGATTTACTCGGTTCCTCTGAACCAAAATGTTCACCTTCACTGATCAACAAATCCTAAGACAAATGCTACCAGATGTAATTGTGATATATACGGAAGTTGATTCATTTTATTCAGATAGTTTATTTTTGCCTTATCTTTATCCTCCAACGGTAAACGATCTGTGCAGGTAATATATAGCTTGATGCAGGGTT